GGGCGAAGGGGCCCGCTCGCCCCTGGCTCCAACCTTCGCAACTGTCCGGGCGGCCCGCTGCCGACTCTCAGGGGAGTGCCGGCCAGTGCTGGTGCTCTGGGCCCACCGCGAAGGCACACTGGCCGGTGGAAGAGGCCAACCTCAGATTCTGATTCTAAATCTGCTGCAGACTGGCTAAGGATCTGGGACAGCACACCTCTCCTCTCTGAGCCTCAGGCTTCTCCTCTGCACAGTAGGGGTGCCGGTGCCCATCTCACGGACTGATGGGAGGGACCAACGAGACGAGGGGGCAGAGAAGCCAGGAAACCCGGTAGTTCTCTGCCTGTCCGCTTTCCTCACCTCCTTGGAAAGGTTTCCCTGGATTAGTAATGGTAACGACTCCTATAGATTAAGGGCTGGGTGCTGTGCTATGTGCTTCATAGGCATTATCTCATCGAATCCTCACCACCTTCTGAGATGGTATGGTCGTTATTCTCATTTTACAGATGGAGAAACTGAGGCACAGAGAGGTTAAGTGACTTCCATGGCCAGGATTTGAACGCTTGCCATGTTCTAAGAACTTTAAAATTATTACCACTTTATCCTCATGATAATCGTACATGGGGGATACCGTTATCATCCACACGTTATAGATGAGGAGCCTGAGGCACAGAGAGGTTAAGGGAACTGCCCAGGGTCACACAGCTCCTAAGTGGCAGAGCCAATGGGCCCCCTCCTGCCTCCTCTTCCCACCCTGTGACAGACCTGGGCACTCGGGGATAATGCCTGGGCCCTTGGAATGACGGCTCCAATGCCCGCAGCCGACACGCCTCCCCAGAAGACACCTCCCACAGAAAGAGAAGCCTGGAGGGCGACCCCTCATTCTGTTCCACGCATGTTTTTAAGGGAAACAAGAAGAAATGTATCAATAGAGTTTCAAAGTAGACACCTGATTCACTCAGTGCCAAGGACTGCAAAAGAAAGGAGCCTGGGGTGTCGGCCCCTCACTGCCCCAGGCCTGCTCCCTGCACTACGTGCACAACCCCGTAATCTCTCCGAGAGCCACCGGAGGGAGGGCCGCCAGTCATCCCCATTTTACAGACAAGGAGACTGAGGCCCAGAGAGTCACTCAGCTGCTGAGCTGTAGAAGAAGGACTGGAATCTCGGTCTTTCTAGCCCCCAACAGATCACAGCCTTAACCCTCGGCTCTGCCCTCTCCCTCCCAACACAAGGGCAATGGACCCCAAATGAGGGACACCGGGGAAGGCAGTGCAGCCTCCAGGGGCCCCGCGTGAGGGCTCAGACACCCACAGGCTGGGCACATCAGGGCTACCAGGAGCCGTGGGCACGACCTGGGGAGGTTGCAGCCCTGCCAGCCCCCTCCACGAGGTGCGTGGGCCCCTGGACCATGGCCTCCTGTCCAGTCACAGCAGCTGAGCCCGCCCAGCAGGCCCTGAAGCCACACTCCACTGACAGCCCCTCTGTGGGGCAGTGGTGACCCCAACATCATGTGGGAAGGGGCGCAGGCTCAAGCCAGGCCTTGGCCTTCTGCCTTCTGGTCTATGCTCTCCTGCCTCACTTGGGACCAGCAATGTTGAGGAGCCGGACATCAAAACAATATCGAGGATGGATGACATCCCAACGGAACCATTTTCTCTCCCAACTGTGGTTTCCTGAAGCAGTGAGAAGACTCAGTTCACCCTGCTGAGAGTAAAAGCAAAAATTCTCACCACAACCGACAGTCGCTCAGCCTCCCTGACCTCACTTCCTAGTACTCTCCCCTTAGCCAGCTCCACTCCAGTGCACGCCTCACTGTTCCACACACCAGACTCACGCCCACCCCAGGGCCTTTGCATCGGCCATTCCCACTGCCCAGAATGCTCTTCCACAGACATCCACAAAGCTGCCCCCTCACAAGTTCAGGAACTTGTGGGAACGTCACCTTCTCGGGGACGTCTTCCCCTCAGCCTGTCTGAACTTACGCCTGCGCCCCACCCTCTATCACCTCTCATTGCCTCCTTCCTGCCTTTATTCTCTCATAGCACCATCTAACAGCCCTCACTGTTTTCCACTTAGGGGTCTTATTCACTACCTGCCTCTGCCCACTAGGACAGCAGCTCCGGGGGCTGGGTCTCTGCCTTCCTGTTCACCACTGTGTCCAGCACGGAGAGCCCAGCACACAGTAAGTGCTCAGTGAACATTTCTGAGTTTGAGTCCACTTACAGATGCAGAGAATGCGGATCAGAGAGGTGGAATGAGTTGTCTACAGGATCAGGGAGAGGCAGAGCCAGGATGCAAACCCGGGCCTCCCTGGCTCCAGGCTGTGGCCTCCGTGGTCCGGGACCTGTGGTTTCCCCTCGGCTACAGCCCTGCCATGGAGCAGGAGGTCAGGCCTGCCCACGGATCCAGGTGGTTCTGGTGAGAGCCCCCTCAGAGGAATGGGCAGCCCAGGCCACAGCCGAAGCACCCCCTTCCCACACACACACACCCTGCCTGAGCCCTCCCAGGCCCCGGCTGGGCGCAACTGCTCACTCAGGCGTCGCAGGCCCTGGCAACAAAGACGACTTTGTGGCCAGGAGTCAGAGGAGAGTGAACACTGGGAGGCTGGGGGGCTTCCTGCCAAAATCCGCATTCAAGCCTACCATGCGCCCAGCCCTGTCACATCCCTTACTGTAAGGGCTCGCGGTTACTGAGGGGTGAACAGGGCTCCCAGGAGCAAGACTGGACATGGGCAGGGTATGGGCCTGAGAAAGGACTCCCCCCCGTGGGGGTCCATCTGGGGCAGAGAAAGGGCACTGGGCAGTGAGTCCCACAGACCCCAACCCCAAGCCTGCCCTCACTGAGGAGCACTGTGAGTGGCCTGTCTTCTCAGGGCCTCAGCCTTCTCTGCAAAATGTGGAGGATGTATGGAGTGACCACTTGTTGGCTGCCCTTGTCCCTCTGCTCCAGGGGGCCAGGGGACCAGTCCTGGCCAATTAGAGGCTCAGTGATTGATCAAGGGTGGGCACATGACCCAAGCTGGGCCAGTGAGAGCTGGCTCTAGGACATTTGCTGGAACTATTGCAAACAGGTTCTCTTTTCTTAGGGATGACTGAGCTGGTTGACCTTAAGCTCAAAGGTGCTAGAGGCCTTCTGGGCACCTCAAAGAGAGGAGAGTGTCTGCCTGGAAATGAAGTTCACCTGAAGAGAAACAGAGACCTGGAGTCCTAATGATGTAAACTGAGCACCTGGATCCTGCCGTACTTGAAGCTCCATCTTTGGACTTTTCTTAAGAAGAGCCTCAGCACTGACACTGAGGCAGATGTGATCATGAGGTTCTATGACCTGGGGAGAAGACTAGGGTGGGGGCTACAGTGGTGAGGGTGGGGGTCAAGTAAGTCACCAGAGAGAGAAAAAGCCAGGGAGATCATGAAGGGCCTTGAATGCCTGGATAAGGAGCTGTGATCAGATTTGAGTTTTAGCAAGCTCCCTCCCATGGCAACACAGGAGCAGGGGAGGCGGACAGGGTGTGGAGGCCAGGAGGCCAGGGAGGAGATTGCGCAAAGGCCCAGGCAGCTGATGCTGAGGCCCGAGCCCGGTTGGAGGCTGCAAGTCCACAAGGAGGGGAAGACACCTCCCTGGCAGTGCCCCAGGTGAGGTCTCCAGGGCACCACTACTCTTGTGGCTTCTGACCACTGCAGGATGAGGTGACCCCACTCATCAGGGCCTTAGGTCAAGAGGACAAGGTGCCCAGGCCAAGAAGGCAGTGCCTCCATTTACAGTGTGGTCACCAGGAGGGGGCAGGGGCAGAGGCCACATGGGGTCAAATCCCACTACTTCTGGCTGTGGAGCCTTGCACAGTCACTTAACACCTCCGTGCCTCAGTTTCCCCAACTATAAAATGGGGAGAATAATAGTATCAAACTCATAGTGTGGTGACGATTAAGTGAGAAAATGCACAAAGAGAGCTCAGAACAGAGTAGGATCCCAACAGCTGTCAGCTCCTGGTATTACTCGCATTACTATCATCTGGGGACCTGGGGGTGATCCTGCCTCTGCCCCCTGCCATGGGTGGGGAGGTAGGTGCCTAAGTTTGCAGAGCCCTCAGAAGCAAGGTGTGGGGAGCTCTGCTGTAAAAGTCATCTGGGGGTCAATCCTGGCCCAGCCACTGCCTCGTAGCTGTGGGACCTCAGGCAGGCCCCCACCCCTCTCTGAGCCTCAGCTTTCTCGTCTGTCCACTGGGCCCACAGCCCCCACCCTTGGAGCTGCTGAGAGGAGGTACCTCACCAGTGTGTCAAGAGTGTGGGAAGGGATCGATGGGACGGCCCCGGGGCACTGAATGAAGGATGACCTGGTCCTGGCTCCTGACAAGCTCCCCGTCAGGGAAAGCAAGGTCAGCCCAGCAGGCTGAGGCTGGAGAGACAGATGGACGGACAAACTGACAGACGGACAGACAGAGCAACCACATCTGCCCCAGAGCCTCTCCCCAGGTCCCAGCCCCGGGCCCACCCGGGAATGTGGCAGCTGGGCGACACCTGCCCCACTGCCTTCCCAGGGCCCCAGGGCTCACCAACCAGACCCCAGGCCAGGACTCCTGGCTTCCGCCTCCTGCCACAAGGCCCAGCCTCCCCCCGGGTCCAGAGCTCCCTCCACGCCACCAGGACCACGGCCTTCGCTCTCCCACCACTGGGCAGGGCGCTCACTCCCAGCAGCTCATGCCAAGGCAGGATGTGCCTCCCTGAGGCTCCCTGAGGGGCCGGGCGCTGCCCTCTGGAACCCCAGACCCACCTGCTGCCCGTGCCGTGCGGGACAGCCCTGCAGACTCAGCCCCCTGCTGCAGCCCAGCAGCCGGGGTCAGACAGACAGCCTGTCCCCTGCCCAGCCCGGCCAGGAGTCCCGCCCCCTGCGCCCTCTCCACGCCCTGGGTCTCTGGAGAGTGACAGTCCCGGCCTCAGCCAGCCCAGTCCCTCTCTCTGGGCAGTAGGGCCACAAGGATGGGAGGGTCCAGCCCCCAACTCTGCGTACAGGTCCCCACGACTCACCCGCCTCTCCGGGGGGCTCCCGGCTGAGCCCACACAGCATGTCTGCTCTTGTCTCCCCACTGCCCACCGACTCCCTCGGGAGCCACGCCGCTCGGCCCCTCCCTCGCCCTCCCCAGGGAGGGGCTGGGGGAGGGAAGCTCCCAGCTCCCACTGGCTGGGCACCGAGTCCACCCACTGCAGAGGGCGGCTCTCTGCTTAAAGGGGACATGGCTGTTGTTCCGGCAGGCTCCTGGATGGGGTCCAACACCCCTCACCCCCCACAGTCTGAGTCTGGGCGGGGATCTTTGAAGATGGCACACCTGGGCCTCCCCCAAAGTCCCCAGGCAGAAGACCCCAGGTCCAGTTCTGCTCCTAACTTGCCCTAGTATTTTGGTAAATGATTGCCATCCCCAGCCCTTGGTTTTTCCATCCGGAAAAGGGGAAGAGTGGCTTCCAATCTCTCTTTTTTTTTTAAGTAGTATATTCCAACAGAACCTTGCACAGAATTGCAGGATGTAAACCAGATAAAGTGCAGCCGGCGAACGATGCCAGGGCGCATCTGCAGGTCTCCGGTCAGAAACTCTTGTGCCCAGAGCCCCCCGGGCCCTCCACTGACATTCCAACTACCTCCCCCAGGCCTCTGTTTCCTACTCCCAGCAGCCTGCCACATGGAGCATAACCCCAGCTTTTGGGGAACACCGAGCGAGCTGGGCAGAGGATCTGCCCGCCTCTGGGCTTGATGGGCAGGGGCAGCTGTTCACAGCCCTGCATACTCCTAGATTCCTCCACGCCAGCTCAGGACTGACCCGGACAACCCTGATGGACAGCCAGGGTCCCTCCTCCAGCTCTCCAGCTGCTCCTGTTCTCCACCCCACCAATGTGTGTTGGCACCAGCTGAGGGCCAGACACCACATAGGTGCTGGGGAGAAGCGTGGGTGACAGCGACATGGGTGTCAACAGCCTGTACAACTACACATTGCATCCAGCTGAACGCAGCAGAGAACACAGACGAGGTCCTGGCTCCTGTGGAGTCCTTGGATGCATGGCAACAAGCAGGCTCAAATGGGTTCTGTGTCCTGCAGCAAGTGGGAGAGTGCAGCCAAGTGGTTAGGGACTAGGGGCTTCTTCTTGGTTCCCTCCTGAGCAGTGATGGCCACCATGGAATCCAGCCCAAAATTCCTGGGCCTCCCACATCAGCTCCTGCTAGCCCAACACTACTGGCACCTTCAGAACAATCCAGACTCTATCTGGGGTGGGGCCACTTGTACCCTTGTATCCACAAGTTCATGTTCCTCCCATGTTACCCACTTTCCAAGGGGGACTTCCTCTTTGAGTGACTTCAGGCATGTCCCAGGGAGCAGGGTCTAGGTTCCAGGTAAGGTTCCCTTGGGCCAGCAGTGAGGCCAAAGTTCAGAGAGAGATGCCAAGGTCTCAGCCATGGGAGGTGAGAGAGGTGAGGGTGGGTCAGAGAGAGAGGACCTGAACTGAGAGGCACTTGCTAGGAGAGCTGGGCCAGGCAGGAAAGGGGGTGCAGGCTCTCGAGTGCTCCACGGTGCCAGGCGATGGTCAGGAAAAGGCTCGCGATGAGGACCCTCTGAGGCAGTCCCGGCTCCACGCCAGGCAGGAAGGGACACGGCCCTTCTCGGCGTGTGAACTGCTCTAAACAGACCTTGCCCTCTTCCTCCATTTACGGCCCCTCCAGGAAGGAGGGCTGCGTGGTGCACAGCCTTTAGAGTTACATCCGGCCCCTCTCGTAAGAATATATTTGCTCACTATACGCATGCATTTAAATGAGCGATTACGACGGCAATTGGAAGCCTTGCTGTGTTTCTGCCTCTCTCAACTGCTCCTTTGGAATTTACTTTTGTGAACAAGAAGCTCTTGGAAAGGTCACGCCGTGGGTTATGGGAGAGCTTCCATGCAGTGTTTCTCTGAGTGCCTGCTGTGCCAGGCCCTGGGGACCAAGACATGAGGAAACAGGTGGGCAACAGCGTCTTCCCTCTGCCCTCTGTCCCCCTCAGCCCACCAAACACATCTTCACTTGATTTTATCCAAGACTATGTTTGGAAGCAACTGTTAGTTCATTTCGGAACAAGGCAGGGTTTAAATAAACATTTGGCACAGAGAGGTTAAGTAACTTGCCCAAGGCCACCCAGTTGTAAGGGCAGAGCCAGGTTCACACTGAAGAGGTCTGGTGCCAGGACTGCTGTTCTTGAAGGTCCTGCTCTGGCCTCTCAAGATTTCAGGGCTTTGTCAAGGGGTCCAGAAGTGCAGATGAGGAGCAATTAGTTCTGCTGGGGGTCCACTGAAGAGGGGTTTTTGAGCCTATCTTTGAAGGATGGGAAGGAACGTGCCAAAGAAGAACCAAGCCATCACAGATGTGACTAGTGAGGAGGAGAGCAGACGGGAGACGTAGAAGAGCCGGCCATGGAAGGTCCCCTCAAGTCTCGATCCTTCAAGTGCGGCCGAGAACCAGCAGCATGGGCATCACCCAGAGCTCATCAGCAGTGCAGACTCTCAGGCCCCACCCAGCTGGATCAGAACCCACATTTTAACAAGCTCCCAGGGGTGCATAAGAAGTCTGCGAAGCACTATTTTAGGAGCTTGGCTCTCATCCTGCAGGCAGCAGGAGCCAAGGATGGTTGTCGAGCAAGAGGGTGAGAAGGCTCTGCCAGGACCTCAGGTCTGCAGCACCACCCGAGGGAGAAGGTGGAGGGCCTGGGAATGGGCTGAAAGGGCCCCTTCTGAGAGCTGAGAGTGGGCGAAGCTGCTGCTCAGCCCAGTTGCAAAGATGAGCCCTCCCGTCCGACGCTGCCAAACCTCGGGGAAGCACAGAAGAGGAGGACAGGTTGCTGGGCATGCACTGTGGCTAGAAGCCAGGCCTGCTAGGGGCAGCATTTGCTCCAGGTCTCCAGTGCCATGGATAGCCCGCGAGGGGGTCTGGGCAGCCTGGGAGAGGTGGCCACTGAGCTGGGGGCAGCCCCTCCGTGGTCAGGAGGGGCCGTGACACCTCCAAGTCCTCAGGTTTTGTGAGACAGTTGAAAGACGGATTGCCGTGTGACCTGGGGCACGGGTCCAAACCTCTCTGGACCTCAGCTTCCTCAGTTGTACAATAGGGATAATAAAAGCGCCCACCTCCTAGGGTTGGGGAGACCACGTATGAAAGAGTCAGAGAGCATTCATCCATCCACTCTCCTGCCAAGAGTCTCACAGCAACACGGTGAAACAGACCTGAGAGGCAGAACTTCGAGGTGGCGGGGCACACACGTCAGGCACGCCCCGGTTCAAATCCCAGCTCTGCCACCCACAAGCCGTGCGACTCTGGGCGAGTCTGTCGGAGCCTCTGCTTCCCCACTCGTGAAGAGTGAGGGGCAGAGACCTTGGAAGGCTCTGCAGACTGACTGTCTAGCACACGCTCACGACCTCTTCCCCACATGGGGCCAGGCCTGCAGGGCCCTCCTTGGTGTCTCTTAATGGGGCACCACTGGCACCACTGTCGGGACGTTCTCTGGTGTCTGGGGCTGTGCCTCATACCGCAGGACTCCTGGTATCCCTGGTCCCCACCCACCCAGAGGCAGTGACAGCTGCAACTGGGAACCAACCCACCCCACGCTGCACAGGTGGGAAAACTGAGACCCAGAGAGGGCCGTGTCTGAGGCTCCCACCAGCACGGAGCGGGGCCTGGACCCCAGCCCCCATCCTTCTCAGGCCCCAGGGCTGAATCCATCATAAGCACAGGCGGGCTGTGTCCTGAGCCCACCAGGGGCCCTGAGTGACAGCCGGAAATGAAGTCTGGGTGGGAAGGAGGCAGAGATGGCGATCAGAGGACAAGAGAGATAAACCTTTTATTGCTGTTCCGTTGCTTCTTCCTCCCTCCCTCCCTCCTCACACCACCTGGGGGCCAGGCCAGGACAACTGCTCCCCCAGCCTCCACCTCGTGGTTAAACACTTCCATGAGACGGGCATTATCGTCCCCATTTTAAAGAGGGGGAAACTGAGACCCGGTCTGTGCGTCCACCAGCCACAGGTGAGGGGCGCTAGGTGACCCCCTCAGGGGGTGTTGTTCCACTGTGGCCCTCACTTCAACCAGCTGGCCCACATGTCCCCCCACCAGGACCCCTCACCTGACCTCAGGGCAGGCTGGAGAGAGCTGCACAGCGGATGCCACCCCAGGGGACGCCTCCAGGCTGCAGCCCCAGATAGACACCATCCTTGACCGCAGCCTTCCTCCAGCCCCAGAAGGCGAGGGGCACATGAGCCCAGGGGTCTCAGGTGGCTGCCAGAGCAAAGCTGGCAGGCTGTGCGCACAGACCAGGGAAGAGCAAGGCTCTGGGCTTTGACAGGAAGCCCCACTGACGCCTCTTCAGAACCAGGCGGAGCAGGAACTCTGCGCCAGGCCTCATTTTCAGCATTTTAGACGTATTTTCTCCCTGCATCCCTACAACATATCCACGCCACAGATGAGGAAACAGGCCCAGAGAGGTGAAGCCCCTTACTGTTAGTCACACAGAGTGTGAGGGTAAGCTGGGATTTGAACCCAGGCCCTCCTGATGACATCTGTTACACCAACAGCTCCACCCAAGGCCCCTCAGAAATGCACACGCGGACATACTCTCACCAGCCCACGCACGCACATACAGACATAGGAAGGACAGAAGAACTGTGGAGGGGGGTGTCCCCAGATGCTGCTCCCAGGGAGTCTCTGGGAATTCTTTGACTGGAGAGGGTCAAGAGGCCTCCGGCCCAGGCTCGGCTAAGGATGGGGCATCTCGGGGCTTCCTCTTGGTCTCCATGCTTCCCTTTACACCTGCGATGGCTTCTCTCCAGGAGGAGAAGACATGGGGCCACAACCATGCAGGGGGCCTCTCTGAGCCTCAGGCTCCCCCTCTAAAGTGTGGGTGATGAAGCTGTCCAACCTCACAGGGTTTTTGTTGAGAAGCTTAGTGAACAAACACAACGCCTAGAAAACTGTTGAATGCAGGGCACGTGCAGGTAACTATCTCTCTGGTCACTGATTCACTCAAAGAACATTATGCACCCACTACCTGCCAGAAACTAACCTGGGCCGAGGCCTCCAAGTGAGCAAAGCAGAGGTAGAGCCTACCTCTGGGGCTGTGGTCCAGGGGAGGGC